TCGAACTCCTGGGCTCAAGCAATCCTCCCACCGTGGCCTCCCAAAGTGCTGGGATTACAGGCATGAGCCTCCACACCCACCCTCAGGAAGACCTATTTGGCAGCAGCAGGCCTTCCCTCATATCTCACTAGGAAGGGCTGAGGGGAGGATGTCATAATCTTGCACCTGCCTTATGTGAAAAGTTGTTTATTTTACCAGCATTGCATGACGAGTGGCCGGGTGGGAACTTCAGGCCAGATGGACTTTGTCTTTATTAGATACATATAGACTAGTTTTACCCGTCTTTGCATACTCACACTGGAATGACTAAGGCTTTTGAGTTTTCTTAAAAGTGCTAAGTCTCATGTCCTTGCTACCAATTCATTCCTCTAGGGCATGAACAGTGATATGGCAGTTGGACACAAAGTGTAAGGTCAGAGAAGTGTCCCTCCAGTTTGGCTCCTATGGAAGATCACCGGCATCTGAGCAAGGACAGGCTTAGTCCGGAGGGGGATGGAGGTAGAGGCTACATGCCCGGGGATGAGGAGCAATCCTGAGATGAAGAAATGAGGAGGAGGAAGGCAGGCAGCCCCTTCAAAAAGCCTGGCTGGGAAAAGCAGGGCAACGATAGGTCCATAGCCAGAGGCAGCTGCAAAGTGAAATTGGGAATGCTTTACACAAGTTAAGCTTAAGCCTGGGCCCATGTTCTCGTAACTGGGTTCTGCAGCGGTCCCTGCTGCCTCCTAAAATAAGGTCACCCTTCCTTGGCCTACTACTCTTCCAGGGGTTAGAACTGTGACGCTGACTCCAACCTGGAAGCTGGGATCTTGCTGCCCACTGAGAAGTTGCCTGCATACTGTCTGCCACCTGCCTGGATTTCTGAGTATTTTCTCCAGCGTGCCTATTGCCAGGCTGTTCTGTGCCACCAGGCTATGCCACTCTTCCAGTGTGAGCCCCAGCTCCTTGCCAACTGTGTGTCTGGATTTTGACTGAAGAGTCTGACAACAGGGATGATATGACTGAACCCTTATGGTCAAGCTGGGTGTGGTGGCTCACGCCTGTGATTCAGCATTTTGGGAGGCTGAAGTGGGCAGATCATTTGAGGCCAGGAGTTTGAGACCAGCCTGGCGAACATGGCAAACCCTGTCTCTACTCAAAATACAAAAATTAGCCAGGCATGGTGGTATACACCTGTAATCCCAGCTACTAAAAAGGCTGAGGCAGGAGAATTGCTTGAGCCTGGGAAGCAGAGGTTGGAGTGTGTTGAGATCAGACCACTGCACTCCAGCGTGGGTGACGGAGCAAGACTCTGTTTCCAAAAAAAAAAAGAAAGAAAAAGAAAAAAAGAAATTGTAAAAACTATACCAAGTTAATGAATCCTAATGATCAAAGCTTGGCTCTATTTCACCCAGTAGCCGGGGGAGCCAGGTCCCAAGTTCACCCTTAGACTCCCATTCAGAAGTAAGCAACCTGCCATACTCTGCCAATTCAACTCTATTTTGAGCCAAGCACAAGCTATATGAAGGTAGCCAACAGTGTGTGCCTCACAGGATGGGCAGAGACCAATGCAGAGTCACCCTAAATGACTTTCCAACTGGAAACCTTGGCTAAATTTACCAATCTCTGGAAGATCAACTTCCTCACAACACATAACAGCAAGTATGCAAACCGAGAACATCAATCTGGCTGGGGAACTGGAGGTGTTAAGAATCTGAGATAGAATGGTGGCTATCAGTACCCCAATAGAGATCATTGTTAAGGTGGGCATGACTCTGAGCAAACAATAGATTCAGAGTTATCAGAATTAGATTAAAATGTCAGCAAAAGCCTGCTGAAGGGCTGAGGGGGGAGAACCCACAACTACAGCTAACCCATAACTACAGCTACCTATGAACAAAAGGCAAGGAAAGAAAATGGACTCAACTTATAAATAAAAAACCCAGCCCCCTGGACAATTCTGAAACTTGAGGTGGAAAATGGTCAGGTGGGAGTAAATCAGGTTGGGTTGTTAGGGCAGTGACCTCCTTCAGAGTTTAAGGCTGTCACCTCAAGTTCGTTGCTTGGTAACGGCCAGATTACCAATCATAACTTCTCCTAACTGACTTTTCTTTTTTTGAGATGGAGTCTCGCTCTGTCACCCAGAATGGAGTGCAGTAGTGTGATCTTGGATCACTGCAGCCTCCACCTCCCGGGTCCAAGTGATTCTTGTGCCTCAGCCTCCCTAGTAGTTGGGCTTACAGGCGCCTACCACCATGCCTGGCTAATTTTTGTATTTTTAGTAGAGATGAGGTTTCACCATGTTGCTCAGGCTGGCCTTGAACTTCTGGCCTCAAGCAATACACCTGCCTTGACCTCCCAATGTACTGGGATTACAGGCATAAGCCATCACACTCAGCCTCCAAATTGACTTTTGTAGACAATTTCTCACAAAATATAGCTCTGGAATGTTTACAGAAAAATCAACAGCCTTCCATGCTATGTAAAAGTCTCCTAGCGATGTCAGAGTGAAGTTCTCTTTGTGGTAGATACACCTGAGCACGTTTATTTCTGCTTAGGGTGAACTATTAGAGATGATGTTATTAAATAACACAATGTCTGGGCTTCCATTTGATTCTGGTGTCCTGATTCCCTGCTCCTGTCATGGCTGAAAGATACCATTCTCAGTTGTTGGGAAGCTGTGGTGATCTGGTCCCCCTTGCCCTTTATTTTAAGGCAGGGTCTTGCTCTGTCACCCAGACTGGAGCGCAATGGCATAATCATGGCTTACTGCAACCTCCACCTCCTGAGCTCAAGTGATTCTCCCACCTCAACATCCAGAGTAGCTGGAATCACAGGTGCGTAACACCATACCTGGCTAATTTTTAAAATTTTTTTAGTAGACACAGGGTTTTGCCATGTTGCCCAGGCTGGTCTCATAACTCCTGAACTCAAGGGATCCTCCTGCCTCAGCCTCAAAACATGCCAGATTACAGGCGTGAGCCGTTCATGGGGCAGTTTCTCCTGAATGGTTGATCGCACCATCCCCTTGGTGCTAAGTTCTTATGAGATCTGGTTGTTTAAACGTGTGTAGCACTTTCCCCTTCTCTTCTTCCTGCTCCAGCCATGTGAAGTGCTGGCTTCCCCTTCCTCTTCCGCCCTGACTGAAGCCCAGCAGAAGGTGCCATGCTTCCTGTACAGCCCACAGAACTATGAGCCAATTAAACCTCTTTTCTCTATAAATTACCCATCCTCAGGTGTCTCTTTATAGCAGTGGGAGAATGGACTAACACAGTCAGGTACTAAATTAAACGGGAGGCTTGCTGATCCTGATTACGTCCTGAAAATTAGAAGAGAATCCCAAAGGAGTTTAAATATATTTCTCCATAGAATTCTTGAAGGCAATGACAGTTACATGTCCTACCTACAGTCATCACTGAATTCATCATCATTAAAGCCTACATTTTCTTAGTGCCAAGTGAGTTCTTTCTAAAAATATATATTTGGATTTCTTTGGGGTTTTTTGTTTGTTTGTTTTTAAGACAAGAGTTTCGCTCTTTTGCTTAGGCTGGAGTGAAGTGGCGTGATCTCAGCTCACTACAACCTCTGCCTCCCGGGTTCAAGTGATTCTCTTGCCTCAGCCTCCAGAGTTGCTGGGACTACAGGCATACGCCATTACACCTGGCTAATTTTTGTAGTACAAATGGGGTTTCGCCGTGTTGGTCAGGCTGGTCTCAAACTCCTGACCTGAGGTGATCCACCCACCTAGACCTCCCAAAGTGTTAGGATTACAGGCGTGAGCCAGCACACCTGGCCACTTGGATTTCTCAATGTTAATAACAACATTGACTGAGCACCCATAGATGGCAGACACCATGTTAAGTACCTTACAGGTTTACTATACGTTAAACCTGATGGGTGGGGCAAGCATTCTGATCGCCATTTGCTTTTAACTTTTTTTCTTTTTTTTTTTAGAGACAGGGTCTCGCTATGTTGCCCAGGCTGGAGTGCAGCGGCTATTCACAGGCGCGATCCCACTACTGATCAGCATGGGAGTTTTGACCTGCTCCGTTTCCGACCTGGGCCAGTTCACCCTCCTTAGGTAGCCTGGTGGTCCCCTGCTCCTGAGAGGTCACCATATTGATGCCAAACTTAGTGTGGACACCCGATTGGCATAGTGTACTACAGCCCAGAACTCCTGGACTCAAGCGATCCTCCCACCTCAGCCCCCCTAGTAGCTGGGACTACAGGCATGTGCCACCGCGCCTGGCCTGATCACCATTTTGTAGATGATTCTGGAGCTCAGAGGAGTTAAGGAACACGCCCCAAGTCACACAGTCAGTAAGTGGCAGAGCTGAACTTTAAATCCAGGTCTGTGTGATAAACCCAGGGATCCCAAACTAACAAGAAATAAATGTATAAATAAATAAATCCAGGCCTGTGGACCTGCAGACTCAGATCAAGTAATTAACATCGAAACATGTTAATTTTCATGAAACATGAAAGAGAGGACTTTACCACTAAAGACGGTCACTACCTATATCAGGGAATTATCATTAGGCTTAAATAATAGATGCTTTGGCAATCTAGTCAGAAAACCTTGTAGAAAGGTTGTTACTTAAGTCCAGAGCACACTGCATAAAAGGAATGCTAAAGGCTCTATTTTTATTACTCATCACACATAACAGGCTCACATTGCTATTTTCTGAAGTTTTAAAAGAACAAAACAAAAAAATAATTCCACTCTGTCTTTGTTGAATCAAATATTCCCCTGCTTCTGAATTCGTTCTGGGGAGATTAGAAAAGGACCTGAGATTAACAGCAACAACAAAGAAAAGATCCAGGAAACAGCTCCCTGTCATTGCTGTGCCAGGGAAGCTGTCCTTTGAAGTCCCTCCTGACAGCTTTGCTTAGGGAAGATGTTTTTCTGCCTAAGACAATGAAGCATTCTCAGAGATCTGCTATTGGAAGAGAGAGAAACAAACTATTACACACCCGTATATTTGCTGGTTGTTTTTAAGTTAGTTTTAAACTCTGCTTATTACCTGGATCCACATCAGAAGAGCAAGGAAAAGAATGGAATTCCACAGAACTGAAAGCCTCACTGTTGGTGTCTTGGTTGGGTCTCTGCAGGACATAATCTCTTATGTCACACGCAGATGGCAGGTCCAAAGCACTGCTCTCCTCTGACAGGCTGCCTGAAGTGGCGTCCTTAGCTGCCATAGTCCTGCCATGGAAGAAATAGAACAGTGCAATACAAAAGGCATCACATAGCAGGATCCTTCATTAGAGCCAGAGCTTGAATCATTTTATTTGTTTTTTACTTTTATTGTTTTTTTTTGTAGAGATCGGGTCTCACCATGTTGCCCAGGCTGGTCTTGAACTCCTGGGCTCAAGCAATCCTCCCATCTCAGCCTCCCAAAGTGCTGGGATTATGGGCATGAGCCACTGTACCCACCCAATTTATTTATTTATTTATTTATTTATTTATTTATTTATTTATTTTTGAGACAGAGTCTCGCTCTGTTGCCAGGCTGGAATACAGTGGCGTGATCTCGGCTCACTGCAGCCTCCGCCTCCCAGGTTCGAACAATTCTCCTGCCTAAGCCTCCCAAGTAGCTGGGATTGCAGGCACCCACCACCATGCCTGACTAATTTTTGTATTTTTAGCACAGAAGGGGTTTCACCATGTTGGTCAGGCTGGTCTCGATCTCCTGATCTCGTGATCCACCTGCCTTGGCCTCCCAAAGTGCTGGGATTACAGGTGTGAGCCACCACGCCCAGCCAATAATTTTAAAGGTCAAACAACAGTGAAATCAGAATGACTGACAGTAATCCCCCCTTATCTGCGACTTTGCTCTCTGCAGTTTCAGTTAATCTCACTCAACCATGATTCAAAAATATTAAATAGAAAACTCCAGAAATAAACAATTGATAAGTTTTAAATTGTGCACCATTCTGTGTATTGTGATGAAATCTCATGCTGTCCTGCTCCATCTCACCTGGGACATTCATTACCCTTCTGTCCAGCATATATGAACTATACACACTACCTGCCCCTTAGTCATTCAGTAGCCTTCTCAGTTTTCAGATTGACTGTTGTGGTATCACAGTGGCCTTCCAGTCTCTTGTGTCTGCAGAGCCCCAGTGCTGTAGCCTAAACTACCATGTGATTAGGCAAAGATAGGAACTGTATAAAAACAAATCAACAGTGAGACCTGGCAAGACCTTTTTGTTTGAGGACACCCAGTCACATGCTGTTGTGCACATTCGCTGAGGCCAAGAGTAAGCCAAGCTATCAGCTGATTGCTCCTGAAAGGAGTGGAGTGATCAAGCTTCCTAAAGAAGCAAGAACATCCTGTCTTTTCACAGGTTCTGTATTAGCCAACCAAGCCTGAAGCTTCAGCAAACAGCTCTGCACCAGGCAACTTTGTCTCCCCCTTCTCCCTTCAAGTTACCTAACATTCTGCTCTGGAGGTTTCTGGAAGGGAACAAACAGGTCAGTGAATGATGCTGGCATATCCTGCCTGCCTGCAAAGGCGCCTTGAAATCCACCATCAACTGAGGGTATCATCAGTGATATGAAATGAATGGAATCCTTTTTGAAAACAAATAGCACATTGATGTGATACCTATCTTTTCTTTGTTTTCAGAATAACTTAAATACCAAATACCTCACGAGCTGGGAACTGGACCACAAAAAGAAGACATGTCGACCAGGCGCGGAGGCTCATGCCTGTAATCCCAGCACTTTGGGAGCCCAAAGTGGGTGGATTACATGAGGTCAGGAGTTTGAGACCAGCCTGGCCAAGGTGGTTAAACCCGGTCTCCACTAAAAATAAAAAATAAAAAATTAGCTGGGCGCCGTGGTACACACCTGTAGTCCCAGTTACTTGGGAGGCTGAGGCAGGAGAATCACTTGAACCTGGGAGGCAGAGGTTGCACTGAGCTGAGATTGCGCCACTGCATTCCAGCCTGGATGACAGAGCAAGACTCTGTCTCAATTAAAAAAAAAAAATGGCCAGGTGCAGTGGCTGACACCTATAATCCCAGCACTTTGGGAGGCCAGGCAGGTGGATTGCCTGAGGTCAGGTGTTTGAGACGAGCCTGGCCAACATGGTGAAACCCCGCCTCTACTAAAAAAAAAAAAAAAAAAAGTATTTGTGCATATAAAATACATTATTTGGGATTCAATGCATTTGTACAGAAGTAGAAAACAAGCAATGGAGGCAGATTAAACCCTTCTTGTGGTCTGATCCAAGCAGATGGAATGATTATCCTTTGTCCCAAACCTTTTGACAATGTGGTTCAACTTCCTTCTCCAGAAGTGCTTATTTTCCTCTCTTATGGGTGATTTAATTACACGGCCTGGTGCAGTGGGTCACACCTATAATCCCAGCACTTTGGGAGGCCGAGGCGGGCAGATCACAAGGTCAGGAGTTCAAGACCAGCCTGGCCAATATGGTGAAACCCTGTCTCTACTAAAAATAGAAAAAAATTAGCCAGGCGTGGTGGCGCACGCCTGCAGTCCCAGCTACTCGGGAGGCTGAAGCAGAAGAATCACTTGAACCTGGGAGGCGGAGGTTGCAGTCAGCTGGGATTGTGCCACTGCCCTCCAGCCTGGGTGACAGAGTGAGACTCTGTCTCAAAAAATAAATAAATATAAATAATAAAAAAATTTAAAAAGTTATTGAATTATGCAATCTAAATATTCCTTTTTTTCTGGGCTCAGTGGTTCATACCTGCAGTCCCATCACTTTGGGAGGCCAAAGTGGGAGGATTGCTTGAGGCCAGAAGTTCAAGACCAGCCTGGGCAACTTAGCAAGACCTTGTCTGTAAAAAAAAATTGAAATAATAAATAAATAAATACACATTCTTTTTCATTACTGGACAGTCTAGGATGCCCTGGGTTGCAGGTACGAGAAGTCTCTAAGTACAGTGCATAAAAACCTGTTTACCAGGAGGAGACAGCCATTCTTCTATTACTCTACAGATTCTTATGATTTAATTTCATTTATTTTTCTTCTATTCAGCCACTTCTCTCCAAATATTTTACATGAAAAGTTTCAAACATCCATAGAGCTACCCCGTAGACTCCCCAGTTCACATTTTACTATGATTTGCTTCATCATACAACTATCCATCTATCCAAATTTCTACCCATTCATCAATCCATCATATTTTTAAAACACATATTTCCATTTATATCTTAATAAAAGCTCTGTTGCCCAGGCTGGAGTGCAGTGGCGTGATCATAGCTGACTGCAGCCTCAACCTCCTGGGCTCAAGCAATTCTCCCACCTCAGCTTCCTGAGTAGTTGGGACTGCAGGCATGAGACATCACACTTGGCTAATTTTTTTTTTTTTTTTTTTGTAAGAGACAAGGTCTCACTATATTGCCCAAGCTGATCTTGAATTCCTGGGCTCAAGCCAGCCATCTTCCCACTCTGGCTTCCCAAAGTGCTAGAATTACAGGCATGAGCCACCTTGCCTGGCCTTTACAATCTGCATTTTTAAACACTCACTCTGTTCGCCGAATGAAGCATGAATTGGAGAACCATACTCATTTGTGAAGTTAAGGAGAATGGGTTTGAACCCCTGCTGTCACTTTTTAGCTGTATCACATTGGACAAGTCACTTAACCTGTTTCCTTGTCTATATATAGATTCAAGTGATTCTCTTGCCCAGTCTCCTGAGTAGCTGGGATGCACCACCATGTCCAGATAATTTTTTATATTTAGAGTAGAGATGGGATTGGTCCAAAGATTATCCCTTTCCTTTCCTTCTCTGAGACATTAATTACCACCAAGAAGCCTCTCTAGCCCACATCCCCCAGCCTTAGCTTGTACCTCAGGCCCCCTCACTGTCCTTGCATCTGAAATAATGGATTTCCTTCAGGTTCTCCAATATACCCTGCTTTGAAACCAGCTGGACCAACATGGTGAAACCCCATCACTACTAAAAATACAAAAATTAGCCGGGTATGCTGGTGCATACCTGTAATCCTAGCTACTCAGGAGGCTGAGGCAAGAGAGTCGCTTGAACCCATGAGGCGGAGGTCGCAGTGAGCCGAGATCACACCACTGCACTCCAGCCTGGGTGACACAGCGAGACTCTGTCTCAAAAAACAACAAACAAACAAACAGAAAAAAGGAAAGAAAGGAAAAGAAAATAATTGATGTAATATGCTATATAGAATAAAGGACAAAACCCAAAACAGATACACATACATACACACACACACACACACACACACACACACACACACACACACACACAAAGTGAAACACCCTTTCATGATCAAAACACTCCATAAAGTTAGAATAGAAAGCAACTTCCTCAACCTGATAAAGGGCATTTTTGAACAACCCATATTTTATTGAGTAGGTTGCTAAATTTTAAAAAATTAAACAATAAAGAGAGAAAAAGGCTGGCATAATGGTTCATGCCCAGCACTTGGGAGGCAAAGGTGGGCAGACTGCTTGAGGCCAGGAATTCAAGACCAGCCTGGTTAACATGGTGAAGCCCCATCTCTACTAAAAATACAAAAATTAGCTGGGCTTGGTGGTATATCCAGGAGGTGGAGGTTGCAATGAGCTGAGATTGTACCACTGCACTCCCACTTGGGTGACAGAGCAAGACTCCATCTCAAAAAAAAGAAAGAAAAAAGAAAAATCCATAATTAACACTATACTTTATGGTAAAGACTGAATGCTTTTCCCTCAAAGATTAGGCACAAGATAAGGATGTCTACTCTCATCACTTCTATTCAATATTGTACTAGAAGCTTTAGCCAGGGCAATTAGGAAGGAAAATAAAACAAAAGC